GATATTTGAAAAATGTGCCAAATTGCACTCGCCTCGGCGGCTCGTGCAATTTTGGCACATTTTTCAAATATCACTCGTAGTGTTAATCATTAATTGCACTCCTTCCCGTGTGATTACCTATACTTATCAAGTCAAATCACAAACATTGCGACTAGAGTCTACGTCCTACGACTCGAGTCTACGGTATAACTCCGAATTTAACAAACCAACCTTTTCGCTGGTAAATTCAAAACCTTAGCTATTGCCACCTGAGTACCATTAATATTTTGCGTTGCAGCATAGACCTCCATCTCTTCCTCGCCAGGGATGCAAAGGCATGTCTAAACGTATAAATGTTTTAACAAATTATAGGCGTGTTGGCTGTGAGGGCGACGAATTATATTTCTGCCTTTGTCCTACCGATAGTACGTATGCCGTCTAGAGAGGACAAGCATGGATTTCTCTACAAGCACTTTCCTACCATCGGCATAGGGTAGTAAAATTTCAATCTTCATCCAGTCACGATCCGGTTATAACAGAATATTGCATGGTTCCATAGCCGTCGAAATATCGATAAGTGGGGGGGGGACCATATTCATATATTCGTGTTCACAGACCTTAAAAACAATCGATTTCAAAAGAAATTAATAATGCAAAACACGAATATATGAATATGGTCCCCCCCCCCTCCACTTATCGATCTTTCGACGCCTATGCATGGTTCATCTAATTTAGAACTCAAAGACAATACTGTGATATTTGAGTATGTTCAACAATACATTAGGGAATCTAAACGTTTTCTTTAATTTCGTCATAGCTATCATCTTTCGGTGTTTAATTAATTAATTTATATTGTTTGTTTCTATATATCTGTCTTGAACTTTGTAAAATTAATGTAAATGTAACTATATGTCTGTCCAGTCTAATGTAATAGTAAATGTAACGTAAGCCCCCTGATGAATCCAGTGCTCTTGGGGAAACGTTAGTAATATGTATATATGTTTAAATAAATATTGCATTGCCCAACTTTTTTTTGCAAATAAACATTTTCTGGTGAATGGGAAATGGTTTGTGCAAAATTCAGTTCAAACAAACGTTCAGCAGTGGCTTTTGTATTTTCTGGTAAAATGTATTTTTACTATAAAAAGCATTTTCGGAGGAAGATGGGTCTCATAACTTTTTTCTACATACTATAAGAACCTGCCACCCAATGTAAGGTACAAATAACGAACGGTCTCATACGTCCCGCAACTTAATTAAGATAAGTAAAGTACAAACGTGTGTTTCCATGTGAATGTGATGTTGCGCCCCCAATGAAATTTCTCCGTTAATGACATGCGCAGATAACGCCATTGCCTCTGTGAAAATATAAAAACAATGATAAAACTAACAGACTAAAAACTCACGCACCAAATATAAAGCGATCGGCCACACACATATAAAAACTGGGGGAAACTAAAAGCACGCGTTCAAACCGCGCTCGCTCGCGAAAACCAACTTTTGCCTCGCTCTTTAGTCTTTGAATCATAATGAAAATCTTTCACTTACCATCGGGATCTCCAAATACTTGATCCACAATTTGTTCCGAGAAGAATGACGAGGCTTCAATTGCGTCTTGAATGGAAATAATTGGAGTCATGCAGTCCGTGTAAGTGATCTTCACTTTCTCAGCAGCTTCATCTGCCAATCTTTGAGTGTCTATAACAGATGATTATGTTATTCTTAAAATAATGATCCATTTTTGAGAAATATTTCACAAAATTGGACAATTCTATGCGTAGACCATTTCTAGAGGCGGATCATTATTAATCTCGCGCAGGATGTAGACATATTTAAGGGATGGATAAGGGATATCTCGCGCAGGATGTAGACATATAGACATATTTAAGAAATACAGGCCGTTTGCCATGTTGCATCTAGTTGCAGAAAAACGATTTTAATAAAGTCCTGATGTTATAAAATATTATTACAATACCAAGCGGAAAACAGTTGCGAAGCATGGAACCATATATAAACCCGGAGAGATGGGGAATACCAGTTTTTCTAAATACCATACCAGGCGAATATTACACATTTTGGTCGATACAATACCAATACTTCAGTTTAATTGATCACGTCACAGCATTAAAACAGCGATAACGTCATCAAGTTTAATAAAAGTGATAACTTAATAGTCAGTCTATCTTATTCATAACTCATATCTTCGTTCTTTTACAAATACAATCACGAGCCGCAAGGTGCAAGGTGCAAGTGTAAGTTAATGTATCTCTCTTATTCTACAATATTTTGTGAAATATTGCATTTTGACAAAAATCACTCTCTATTTCTGCGATTTTTATGAATGCCGACCAAATATGTGGTAGGCTCAAGTGGAATTGAAATTACCAATACTTTTCGCAAGTATCAGTGGGATCGATATCCCTGTTTAAAACCCCTCGATCCAGTCTAAGTTAGGAGAGTTTTTTCACTTTGGCATGTGTTCGTGTTACATACCCAAGTATTTTCATTTCCATCGCAAGTTTCTGCTCGGTTTTTGAGTTGCTGTATGTCGCGTTCGACACGCTTGAGTTGTAACGCGAGATCACGGCAATAACATTGAGAACTTGTGAATTTTAGTCCTTTCAACAAATGTCTCAATTTTAGAGCTGTCTGGAATATCTAGATTTGCTGTAATATGATCAAAATCGAACTTGCCTTTGTCCGACAATGAATTCTCAATTACTTCAACCATGTTTGGATTCCCTTCGGCTTCGCCGGATTGTTCTCCGTCATGAATATTGACTTTATTCAACGTGGCAAATTTAATACGTTTTTCTCGACGGCTTTCATTCTTATCGTCACGAATTATCATGAGCTTCTGCTTCTTTATACCGTACCATTTCATAGTATAGTTTTCACTTGTGAATTGCTTTACTTCTCCACCAGGAGACGACCATTGTCCCACAATATTCAAGTCAAACTGCACAAACAATTTCAGACTCTCTAGCGAGCCAATCCATGTTAATTCCTTGTCAAATTTGATAAGATTTGATAGTTTAGAAGGTGTCGAAGTTTTTGGCATGTTTTGTTCTAGTACACTAGCACGTGTCCATGGTATGTGCCAAAGTAAGCAAAATGCTCGGCTTCATTAAAAGATCATCAATGGACATTCGCAACGAGAAAACACGCCTTGCGCTTTACAAGACAATGGTGCGAAGCCAGATGGCATATTGCACACAAATTTAGTCACCACAGTCGGTATCACCTATCCTTCAAGTAGAAAACGTCCAACGTCGCGCCGCCAGATACATTTTATCGCTGCCATTCTTGTCAGGAGTATCATACAAAGATAGACTTGTCAAAAGTGGTTTACTACCATTAAATTAACATACTGGCGTGAATTCCTGGATATGGTCTACCTTTACAAAGCGTTAGTTCAATCTAATGACGATAATATCCATGTAAAGACAACAGATCGGTTGACGAGAGAAAATGATGGAACAGCAAAAATTATATTACAAGTTCCTAGAGTAAACACTTTAACATTTCAGAACAGTTATTACTGCAGATCACTCAGGACTTTAAACTGTTTACCATCACACTTACGGCAGTCAAATCTCTCAATCAGTCAATTTAAATGCGGCCTATTTAAATATTACCAAAAACGTGTTGAGGAGGTCTACGACATTGATGTTCCACAAACGTTTAAAACAGTGTGTGCAAAGTGTCATTTGTGTCGTCCCTTCAGTCCAGTCTTTCTGTCAAACTGTGTTGTGATTAGTTGCTGTTAACCCAGTGGAAATATCACTTTGTTAGTGAGCATGTGAAATTTAAATTAAATTCCTTTTTTCGATCCACATGATTAGAATTACTCAGGACCACATTAAATCAAACGTCTCAGTGATTAGCGATTTTGAAGCGATAGATCCACTGTGTTAACCTATATTTCAGTATTGCATTAGCAGGTTACCCGTAAAGGAGCAACTAGCTCTGTGGGTTAAACCAGTCATGTGACAAAGATTGTAAAATAAAAAATACTTTGAGGAAAACTAAAATGATCTTCAATAATAACGGAGCCTTCGAAAGCACGTCTACACGACATGACAGTCGGCATGTCATTCGCACATTGAAGAAAGTGGAGCAACTCTAGCATGACATCAAGAGGAAAACTTGAATGGAGCTTGACTCGGAATAATGAATTACATTTTCTTTCATTATGACAATACATCTTTTCCATTGCATGGTCAATAGGTGTGATAAGTTCAATGGGTCTATATACCAGACACCAATATTCAGTACAAGTCAAAGAATATAAACTCACAATAACCACAGCCGGTTTTCGATGTAGTTCGATTTCGATCTTACATAAATGCAATCATGTTTAAAGAAGAAGCTCCTCGAGGTTGAAAAGATATTGTTAGAGCTTCGTTTACATAGGTCATCAGCAATCATTCAAAGACTGTTAGAAATCAGTCGACGTTACTCTGCTAATCACAAGAAAAGCAGATTTTCAACACGTCATTCATAATGGTAATTTAAGTGAGTGGAGTGTAATTTGTCTGAATTCAAACGCGTGATTACAAAATCGCACGACCGCGAAGCGAGAGTAATCACAATATTGACTTCAGACCAAAAGTGCACGACACGAATTTCAATTTCCACATTATTATATACATTTTGAAATTCTAAAACATTTTTATTAAACGGGAAATGGTGTCTTTGTTTACAAAGACACCCCAACGATACTCCCCTAAATGGCGTTGCGTAGCAACAAGCAACAAGCTGAACTTTCATTAAATCTTGAAATGTTTCAAATTAACAAAAAATTAGAAAATTTCTGGATACTGTGAAGACTAACAGACAACCAATGTAAGTTTAACAAGTACATCTACAAGCTCTTGTGGTGTCGTGGTTATCATGCTTGCCTTGCAAGCTGGGAGACCCGGGTCCAGTCCTTCGTCGGACCTCTACTCTAGGTCTTAAAATAATTGAGGAGAAAGTGCTACATATACGCTGCCATTAGCCCATAGTTGGACTATGGCGTTTTCTAGGATAAGGACGGTCATATTCATAGGTACCTCGAATCCCCTATCAATTTGGATACTTGTTGGCAAATCTGCTCACCACTAAACAATATTGCAGGTTTTATTAGTAATTTGACAGGGTTTTGAGGCGTTTTTTGGTGCATCTAAACATCAACAAATTATGCGATGCACGAATTTGCCTTGTTTTGCCTGTGGCTTTAAAGCCCATAATTATTTGTGAAAAGTTGTTTAGAATTGTTTAAATTTAAGCTGTCCCATACAGTATATATTTTGCTTTTATATGCAAAACGATTAAGCAAAGACAGTGTGCAAGATGGTAAGAGAAAGAGAACTAGTATGTCACAATAAAGATTTGTTTATTTTGCTCAATTTGCCAGAGCACATAGTACTGATAGCTAGTGAACTTTATTTAAGCACGGAGGTCTGTCTTTCCAGGCGCCGTGACGTTTGGATTATTTAAAATATTTACAAGGAAAAGGAGAAATTAAAGGGCCTCCGCGCGAAACGTCGAGTTTCTGCTTATTTTTTAAGGTAGTAATATAACCACTCAGCACAGCATTTTCACATTGGTACTACCAACACTGGTACAGACAGTTTAAATTATTTCTACACTACAGTTTATTTTTGAAATTTTTTAGTGAAGTGGAATTCCTAATTTCAATTGGTATTGAATTCCATACCACTGCTCATTATATTCAAGATTATTTTTTAAAAAAATTGTGTTTGATTTAGGGATAACAAAGTTGTAGTCATGACCTCGTATACCGTGACTGTGAATTAAAGTCGCTCGATTAAATGACCGTGAAAGATCAGGTGGACATAACTTATGGAATACTTTGACAGGATTTTTGAACATTGCACAAGATTTTTGTTTCATAGTCGCCTACCTTCCAGTGTCGGCCAATTTAAGTTATTCAAAATTTGGGAAGAGCGTATTTCATAGTTGCTCCCAGTAATTATTCGAGCTGCTCGATTCTGCATAAGTTTTGAAGTTCATCCCGTAAATCTTTTCGGCAATTATTCCACACAGAACTACAGTAATCAGCTAGTATGCTAGCTTTTGAACAAGTACACTTATAGAACATATTGGCGATCGAAGAACAAATCTTGTTTGTCTGTACGGGTCAACAAAGAAAATTTGGCAAAGTAATTTGAGTACACAAATTATAAAAATCTTAACCTGTTTTATGCGATGCATAAATTAAGTTCATTTCGGTACTGAAATTTACTTACTTGCAATGATAAGGCCAACTGCTTGCCCTGCATAGTCCACATTTCCATCACAAAATATTTTTTCTTTGTTATTGAACATGTCGCAACCGGTACCAGCAACAAAATTATTCTCTCCAGGAATAGCTTTAGCAGAAATATACTTCAACACGCCAGGAAGTTTCTAAAGCAGTTATACGTACATCTTCATATAGAGCACATCAGCAACAATGTCACTACACTATATATTTATTTTCTCATTATTGTGACTATACGTTGGTCAAATCGATAGTGTTTCCCACGGGTATACTCTAGGTATTGTAGCTCAATTATTTTTAAGTAAGGGATTTGTAGCTGAACATTTTGAGCAGAATCACTATACAGGGCGTATAAAAAAAGCTAAGGTAATCCAACTTTGGCACGTTATTGTGCGTTAAAGTGGATTCCTAGGGTTTTATCTTCGATGGTTACGTTCTTCGTATATATGTAAAATATTGCGTGTATATAAAGACGTGTGACTTTAACATACGAACGAACGTTGTGTTTTATATGGAACTCCTTCTCAGGGGCGCCGGAAGCAATGTGAAGCGGCGGGGCCAGCCATTTCAAAAAGGCACTTGTTTCTCAGCCATCATTTTTCTGGGCGGCAATATTTGTTAAAACTTTACTCTATGGATACTCGATTACTTGCGGCTATTGTGGGTCGGCAAACTTCGACATTAATTTTGAATAATTTTATTCGTTGCACCTTCCTAAGGGCGCAGAATAAATCAGTAAGCGGATGTATTGTACTTAATTTAGCAATAATTTTACTGCAACTGGTTAAAAATTAAGCAAATATTGCTTAAACATTGCTTAAATTCCTACTCCTGTGAATTAACGCACAAATTTCGAAGTGCACTTCGGGTAAAAAGGGCAACATGTTGCCCCCGTGCTGCCCCCGCACTGTTTGGGCAACAGGGGCAGTTGTTCCCGCTTCCTCCGTGACTCCGGCGCCCCTGAATGGCCACAAAATATCTGCTAGTACATTAGGCAAAATGGCCAGACCCTCAGTTATAGAGGGTCAAAAAATTTGTAACGGGTGGCCAGGAAAAACAGGAATTGATGAAATTGTGAATTTGGCCCCCACCTCTTTTGGTAGCCATGGATAGCGAAAAATTTTGGTGACTTTTTACTTGTGATAGTCCGGAATTTTTTTACCACCTTATTTTATTATTTTTATTTATAACACCTCCCCACCTGCTTAAAAAATTGACGGAGGCCTCAGGAGGTTCCGTTTCGCCTCTGCATGCACAACGATACTTGGACGTGATGTTTCAGAAGAAGATAATGTAAATTTTTTTTTCAATATTCTGGACGCTTTTGACCGCCGTACGCGAGGGTCGCATCGCTAACATTGGAATATAATATAAAGTTTCCTCAAATATTTGCAGTGTTTTCTGCACAATCTAGCAGCACTTCTGACAATAAAGATGACTTAAATAATGAGCCCTCTACCCGTTAAATGAGCATGGCTGAAACTCCACAATAATACCACCACAAAAGATGAAATTTTAACGGGCGTTGTCCGAAAACATCGGACGATAGTACTATAAACTCGCACGAGACGAATTAAATCATCAATCGTTGAAGGGTTTATTTTAAATAAAGTTTAGAACTACACATATTAGGGATGTTACGAAGAACCACGTGTTTGACTGGGGGGTCAAAGGATGTTTGACTGGGGTGTCAAAAGATTTTTATCTACAGTATATTTAACGTTGTAAATTTATAGTTAACGTTGCAAATTATGATAGACTCTTAATTTGCATATAGGTGGCAGAATAAAAGTGTGGTTGGATGGGGCCAGACAAACTCGATTTCGGGTGGGGAAGCTACAGGTAGGGGTGTCCCCCAAATTTTGAATGTAGAGGCTGGTAAGTTCTGCCAAAGATTTGTTTCACCCAACAACCCAAAAAAACAGTTTCAAACATGTAGATGGGAATCATGAATACTCAATATATAATAACCTTAGGCAGCAAAGAATATTTGGTTCTCCCACTCTAACCTCTCTTGTATAGCTTCGCTCGCCCCAATTTTACATCCTGTGCCATTACCCCAGCACGTAAGTAGTAAAAGACCTCCCTCTGACGGATTTTATAATGAGCTTGCAAAATCTATGACGTCACTTTGTTCAGCTAACAATCTGGCGGATTTTATAATGAGCTTGAAAAATCTATGACGTCACTTTGTTTAGCTAACATTCTAGCGGATTTTATAATGAGCTTCCAAAATCTTTGACGCCGGGTAGCGCGACCAATTAACGCGGGCACGCCTGGGCCAAATGTGGCAGGCGATCAAATAGCATCACAACTAGTTTCTGAAATAGTAGGATTAACGTCGATTTACTATGAATGGAGGTTTGAGGAGTCATTTTTTACACAGAATGTGATTTATTATTAATAGCGAGTGCAGTGATTTGCCATTGCGAATAATATAGCACACTGCTTCTGTTACTTTAAACGATGGTTTTACAAGGGTATTTTCAAAACATATAGTTTCATTGATAGAAATATAAATATTGTGATAGCAGCGTTGTCAGGTAATTCCCACGTTTAAAACACAAAGGTTGAAGTAATTAAGAAGATTAAGCCGATACGAGTTTTCATAACCAATAGGATCCTAATGGATATATATGGATATTATTACGGGCGGCCGTGGACGTGTTCAGGCGAGCAGTCAATACTTTCGCTGAGCTCAGCAATTTTTCGCGTCCCACGCCGTCAAATGAAGGTATAGGAATATAGGTATAGAAACATCTTGAGATATGTCCGTATTTTTTGATAAATTTTAAAACATTTGATCCAAGCACAATCTTTTATCGAATTGAGAGTCATGAACTACAATGTATCTTGACCTATTTGTCGTATTAAGATCAAGAAAAGTTGTTTGCTGCAGCATTATTTAGCAAACCTCATAGATATAAAGAAGCTTATCAAGAATATAAGTTAGAATTGGAACAGTTGTAGTATATTTTGCGATAAAAACAGGTAGTCGTTATATACGTTGTTATGTGTTGCTAAGTCATTAGCGACGCTTGGTTGCATGCATATATTAACGTACAACATATTTGTACACTTATCAGGCGGGCGGATCGCGCGGACGGAAGAGCGGGCTTTGCAGGCAAAAGCTTACACAAGATTTCAGTCTTAAAATACATTTATTTCTTCAAAACGTTTTACAAAATTTAGTACGGTCTACTTCTTGTTATTTTTATGCTTCTAATCGTCACTTGTTTGAGATGTTTCGCTTTCAGATTCATCATCGTGGCTGCTTTCATCATCGCAGTCGCTTTCATCTTTCGTAATCCATTTGGGATGTCTTGGATCTTCTTTCAGTTTTTGCTTCTTGACTGATGACAGGTTGCTGCGGTGACTTCGCCTTCTTTTGCATCCATGTCCCGTTTGACGCAGAAGAGTCCTTGCTCCTTGCTCAACAAAGTCTTTAACAACTTTCCCTCTGTGAGTCTTTACAGATTCTCTTACATTTTTTCCTTGAAGTACATCTTGACCAACTTCTGTAGCTTCTTGTAATGCTCTTTTACCAACAGCTTTAGCTCCTTGTTTGAACAGAGGGATAGCATATCTCGCAAGGCTCTTAAAAATACTTCCGATCCCATATCCCGTTTGCATACGTGCACCTTGAAACCCAGCGATATTCCCACTAAACTGCTGTCTTAAGAAATGGTCTTTCAATAGTTTTGTATCTGCAACAAGGGTACCTCTCACCATGTTGATGTGTTCAGTTCAAATTCACACAGCAAACTGATCAAATATCACTTTGTTCGCCTATTTTATGGTAAAAAATGTCTTTTATCCGTACTAACATCCATAATTTCATCACAATGACAATGTTGGCAACAGGCGATTACATGCGTGAAATTTCCTTCGGACAGTCCAAAATCACAGATCGTACAGTGACACCTCTTGCAATTTGGATAAAAATCTGTCCATGTGCATATGGGATATGTGGCCAAATGGGAGATGCCTAAATCTTTGTTACAACCGTTACAAACTGTGTCCATGTCTTCAGACTCATCCTCGGATTTGTCAGACTGTATATCCTGGTAGGACCACTTGTGGGCTAGCATTGTAAGGACACGCCCATTTACGATTAGGCTTTTATCATTATCCAATTTTGCAAGACCTTTGAAAATATATTCAGTCAAGCTGGTTCTGGAATTTCAGTATTATATGGTAAAACAGTATATTG